AATTAAATTTTTGACTCATGAGTAATTAAAGAAAACAATTGAAATCAAAATATAAACTTTTAAAAAGTTCAAATAAAAAGAATAAGAAATAGTTCAAATAAAAAAATTGTTCTTATTATTATTTATTATTTTATTATTATTAAATAAAAAAATTGTTCTTATTATAATTATTTCTATTTATAATTGTTGGAAAAGTTTTTCATGATGTTGTCTGAAGTTTTCATGACACTTTGTTTTGACGATCACAAGATGAAAAGTAAAATGAATGACTAGGGGTGGGCAAAAAAAGGTCTTCAGCCACAAATGAACATGTTAAAAATTTCCCCCCACCCCCGGTCAACGGTCGAAAAATGCACATATGCGGCCCTTCAAAGGTAAAATAGTTTTCAATGCGGCCCTCACAGCAAAAAGTTTGCCCACCCCTGAACTAAATGAAAAAGCTAAAAAGCAAAAAAAAAACACATAAAGTTTTATCTTATTCTTATCTGACCAGCCTTAAAATTTTATCATGTTATAACAACAACAACAACAACAATAATAATAATAATAACAGTGGTGATCAGATAGGAAGTTGTTAACTTTTGAGATTTATAATTGCATGCGAATGAAAATCTATTCGCAACGTGAAAATTTATTATAAACAATAATAATAAAATATTATATGTTAAACCTCCCGTATAAAATAATACCCAAATTTAAATGTTTTAATGAAGCTTGACGAAACGTTGAAAATAAACAATACACGAAAGCATGAATCACTATTAAAAATGTTTGAAACTGGAAAAGTTTAAAATATTTTTGATGAAATTGAACGAAAACTCAGAGCACTTCTATGGACATTCGGTTAGATCTTGGCGTGCAGATCAACAAAATATCAGGAAGCAGAGCGGAGTACATACCATTCCCTGTCAACTATAAGCTTGAAACAAAGTAAGTAATCCATATTTTTCCTTTTCTTTGTATGCCTGTATTTGTAAAGCCTAAGAAATATTTTTTTTTAGAATTGGAAGTTTTTACATCATTTGCGTCATCATTAAAATTAGAAATAATCTTCACCGTTCCTATGTCTTGCCATAACTTAAAATTTAATATTAACGTAAATATTTTTTATTCATTATAGAAATATTTCAAGATTTTAAAATTGCATTGAAGAACACGCGGCATTCAAATTAAAAAAACCAACCGCCACTCAAGGCATTTCTTTCCTACGATTTCTGAATCAATGATTCAAGCTGGGTGCACGCAGCACAACACATGCAAGTCGTCTTGCCTAATGCAAAAGTACTAGCACGACACCAAATGTACACCGAGCTACAACCTCCATTGTGAAATTAAATTTTTTACATAACAAATGCAACATTTTTAACGTACAAATTAAATACGCGAGTTGTCTAATGTGTTTGTACGAACGAAGAGAACATTGAAACCTGGCATCAGCATGAGAATGTTGTGCATGCACGTCACATAAAATCTCTTTCTAAGATGAAGCACATGTGAGATTGAATATTTGAGTCATGCATCATATGCACAACAAAAAATATTTTCACATCCAATCATTTATAACACTCACACCATCTATCAGAGCCCAAAAAAGAACTGAAGAAGTAAAAACAGACAACACGCAAGCAGTGGCAACACGAACACACGAGCAACATGTGCACTATAAACAAATCGAGCAGCAAACAATATAAATAATTTGTGCAACAAACAAACAGACAAACAATACAAACAAACAAGCAAGCAATAAAAAAACAGCATGTACAGTGTACAATACCAGCAGAGGTACAAGACAACAACATGCAGACCGAGTGATAAAAACATGCACAAGAAACCAGCAAAACATGTAAAAATGCAACATATGCAGCAGGCACATCTCAAGCAATACGTACAAAACAAAATTCAAACAGTAAACACACCTGAGCTTCACAAAGAATTAATGTTTTTAATTTTTTATAACAAAAATTTGTTCAACGCGACGTTAACCTTAGTTCTACCGAAGTATAATGCATATAAATACACTTCCAAGTGGATTCCAATGATTCTAAGATATCGGCAAACAAAATAAAAAATGCGTGGAAGGTTTTATTTAATCATGATAATAATGTGAAAGAATGTGATGTTTCTCACACTATCAATGAGTTAACATTGCGACAATATCCTGTCTTCCTTTATTTCTTAAAACAATACCAACGTGCAGTGGCGTCACTAGGGGGGTGCGGGGGGTGCGGACCGCACCGGGTGACACCCTCACAGGGGGTGACACAAAATATCACTGTATATGTTTTTATGTTCCTCCATGAAATTATTCTTATCATTAATTCAGCCTAACCCGCCCAGCGCCCAGAAATGTATTATGAATAAAATTTTTTTCGTTCAAATCATTTTTGTATTCGACATTTATACCATTCAAATTCGACGTCCGAATTATTAAGCGCCGCGGCCGAGCACATTTAACTTGTTCGTGTTTATAAATTTTGCTAAGAATGCGGTATGTCTATGGGGTGTCATGAGAGGGGTGACACCATGAGTTACCGCACCGGGTGACACCAACCCTAGTGACGCCACTGCCAACGTGAAAACAAAGATCGATCATTGAATTTAATTTGTTTTCGCGTTGAGTGCAAATTTCTGATTTAATCGTCATTAAAGCCTTTTGGCCGAAGTTTTTTTGCATCAAGGATTAGAAATTTGACAGCAGCAATAATCCAAGCGATTAAGACATCAACTCTCTTGAAATGGGAGATGATGGCAAAAAGTTTATGAAACTATTAAACTTAAAGGAAGCTTGTTCAAAAAGTGCTGAATAAACTTATATTTAAAAAATACTACCACTATTACCAACAAATAATAATAATATTAATATGAACTGAAGCACAATAACATGCAATCAAGACAGACAAACCACAGAGAGCAAACAGGCAAACAATAACCTTCATCTCATCTAGACCTGATTCTATTTGCTCTGCATACATGAAATCATTGATGTGCTTAAATTCAATTATGAATACAATTCTTTTATAAACCTAAAAACAAATAACAATATTAATAATAACTATTTATATATATGATTAAAATTAATAAAAATTAATGTTGAAATCTTTAATAAAACTTAAATAAATCAGAATAACAGATTGCAATTACAAATGTTATTATTGCTACTGCTGCTGCTACCAACTCTGATGCCACAACTGCTCCTAAAAATGCAACTTTTATTATTTAATTTTTTAAGAGCCGGATTTACTATTTCAGGAGGCATAAACTGACAAGTCTTCCAGGCTCTTTAAAAAATATTTCATCAATTGCATTTTTCATGTGATTTGTACTGAAGAGCACCGACAATTTTGGATTTTGTGAACTGATCGCATATTAATGAAATAAACGAAACCATATTAGATGCTGGGGGTTTCACATTGAAGTTTGAAAAATACGTCCGGCAAAGAGGCAAGCAATTCTAGTATAGGAATGTGATGACCGTTCTGCTCCAGATACAATGCATCTAATCAGGTGCTGCTGCCAAAAACAAATTACATTGCGCCCTAACTATTTTATGTTTCTTATGACTTTTCAAAACAATTAAATGATAGATAGAGCAGAGGAACGCCTTTAGTTCACACTAGGTCCAACTTTTCAGAAGGAAATGATACGTTGCTTACAACTTTTCCATCAGCATTGTTAATGTCAGGTGTTATAAATTTGGTATCCAAAGTTTAAGTGTAGCTCCGATGACGCCCTCGATACAATTTTTTGACTTCGCATGTTTGCTTTGCGTAATTACGCATCGCAGTAGTGTTGAGCGCTAAATAAAACATGGGACTTCTTATTCATTATTTATTATCCACAAAATTAAAAATAAATTTTCATCTTATAAGTTTACAAAATAAGCTGGGTCCCAGTTTGCCAATTGGTTTTGTTTCAACGCTGTCACTACAAATAATAATTTTATTCATAATATTAGTTTTACTGTCAATTTAGTAATTAAACTTTTTTTAATTGTTTAATTAATTAATTTCAAATGTGATCTGTTCCAGGAAAAGCTTTAGTTTTCAGTTCAAAACCAAATCTACTCATGGCCTCATCTTCTTGGCAGGAAATTTCGAAGGGTAAGCCAACATTTTGTTTTTGCTGTTGCTGTTACGTCAGTTTATTATTAACATAATAATTTCTTATGTGTCCATCAATTGTTTCTCACGACGCAGTTTCAATTGAAGTGCCATGTTTGAAATATTAAACTGTTTCTCACTAAGGTAAAAATATTTCCATTCTGATCTGAGCGGCTAACTACGATACTTTTTTTAACAACTTTTTTGAGAATATTCATTCCATTGCACTTCAAAATCGCCTCAAATCACTTTTAACGTCGTGACTAACGACACAGTTTAACATGAATCTGTGTAAGCAGCACTTTTAACATCACATAAAATCGCATTGTCTTATGGAAATATCCTGCCACACAAAATATCACGCTGCAGTAACATATATCACTCTACAAAACTTCAAGTAACACAAAAACTTTTGAAAATAGCATCGTAGGGCAAAGTCTCGATAGCGCATAACATAGCATGATACATAAACACGGCATCATTCAACACCATCGCACAACACCACGTACCGCCCACAACCTTCCCAACAAGGAGCCTAACTGACAGGCAAAACAGATCATAGCATAATCGCCTACCCTGCTTTCTTATGATGAGGAAGATGAACGTATCAATTCGCCGAGCTCGTTTTGTACGCTAATGCCCTGCAAGCGAGATTAACCAGATCGTAGCATGCTTTCGAGATCATTTTTATTTCTGTCTAAATTTTGGCTAGAGAGAGAGAGTATTTTAAAAATTTTTTATAGCAAAATGTACAAATTAAATGAATTAAACGGCCGTATATATAAATTAATATTTTACATAAATTATAAGGATATTTTCGCAAGCTTAGTGACGAGCAAGTTATTTTACATTGATGTCATTCGTATCATTGACTGGGCGAATCATCATTCTCATGAGACGATGGCATCTGAATGGCAGCTACTCACTAGACAGAACAATATTTACTTCAGAGAAACCATTAACATCTGGTGACTCGATTGTTAAAGTGACACCTAGTGACACTTATTTCAAATTTGATAGCTCATCAAACATTGGCTCACCACCTTGTTAAAAATGAAGTCCTTGCCATAAATTCTCATTTTGTAGTTGCCAATTTCCAAGTTGTTATTCAAAACAAAGAGTTAAACCCTTGATAAATTTAATTAAATAAAAAATTAATTTTTTTAATTATGATGTTAAAACATATAAATCAATCATGAAATTTGGGATAATTTTTACAAAAAGATAACAAGCTTTAGGTGAACCACTTCTAACTTTAACTCTTTCGTTACGAGATTTTCATTTCATGAAAAAAAACAACAACAAAATATTAGGATAAATTGTGGCCAAAGCCAATTAAATCTTTAAATGATTCTACGTAAAACATTTACTAAAAATACCAATAATCCCAGCCGACTTGGCAACACAAAAACTTCACAATCAACCAATTGCACTCGTTAAACAACTACCTGTAGCCAACAACCAACCAATTTCATGCATTGAATGACCAATCACTGAACAATACAGTGCCGACCTGGTCTCCATGTACCTGATCGAAGGATACGTGGTCTTCGCCAGGAGGTGTGTGTACGGACTGGCGTTCGAAGTCCACTCCAACAGAACCTGGAATGATGGACACTGGCACAACGTTCGTCGGACTTTATTAATTTTGAATATCTAAATTATTAAGTGTTGATGATTAACTTATTTTGAAATTATATCTGTTAAATTTTGAACTAGTTGAAATTCAATTTTTGATCACATCGAGTCAGTAGTTTGAAATAACATGCTTGATAAAAAAATTACTAAAAATTTCATTTCACTACAAACAAATAAGTGCTCTTTATTAGATTTTTATTTGTCAAATTGACGTGTTAATTCTGCCGGATTTTTAAAGTTGTTCACGCCTTTACTCCCAAAATCATTGAACAATTATTTTATTTAAATAAAAGACTTCTTTAAACATTCAAAAAAAAACTTTTAATAAAACAATTTTTTATGTTATGAATACTTCAAAATTGAGTATGTTAAGAACATCATTAAAAATTTAATTTGACAAAATCTCGCATCACTGGATACCTATGAGCACGAAATATCGCAACAATGTTGTGATGTGTTTGTGTCATTTGCATATCGCATATCGATGTTTTTCGTTGAATGGAATGAATCAAATGATAACAAGTGCAAACTGTAAAATATAAAAGTTACAAAATTTTACCTATTAAAAAATTAATCATAAGCTCGAATTTTTAAGTCCTGTTGAAAAAAAAAATTGGTAATGAAAAAATGTCATATTACATACAACATCACTGTATATTTGCTGAATCTGAATTGAAATTTTTGCAACCAGCAAAGAAGACTATCACACAAAAACAACAAAAAAATGCTGTAAAATTTGAAAATTTTAAAAATAGGAAGGTTAAACACCTTTAAAATTTAATTACGCTTATTACGAAACTTATTAGCTGAACTCAAAGGTCTGAATAATAAATGATCGCCTGAGAGTTCTCGCCAATAAGTAGCCAGCAAAACCATCTAAAAATAACTTTCATGAGCTTGTTTTTGAAAAGAAGGCTTGAAAAATACTTTTAAATCTTAACAAGTATCCAGCTTTTTTTCAGCTAAGCCGAAATATTCAACCTATCAAAACTGGATTTACGAGTTGACTTCTCCAAAGTTACTTAAACTCAAAATGTAATATATTAGGTACATTGTTTACCCTACACAGTGACCAATTTTATTCTCGTTACGCCGGTCACAACTTGAGTCAGTCCTTCATACAAATTTAGAAAAGTTGTGATGGTACATTTTTAGCAGAGGTTAGGCATAATTTTTTTAAATTCACTATAAATGAATGAATGAATAAACAGAGAAATCATGACGGGCACTGCTTTCACTGCCCGCATACTGTTTATTGCTATCACAACCACACGAACACACAGGTAACCAGCAAATTAGCACGAACCATTTATTCCACTTTATCATTACAAGTGGAATTGCTGAGATATCGTGCAACGCAACGCAATACAATACAAGGCAATAGAGTACAACGCAATGCAATACAATACAACGCAATGAAATACAATACAATAAAACGTAATACAATACAATACAAATACAACGCAATACAATACAACACAACGTAATACAATACAACGCAATACAACACAATACAACGCAATGCAATACAATACAACGTAATACAATACAACGCAATACAATACAATACAACACAATGCAATACAATACAACGTAATACAATACAAATACAACGCAATACAATACAACGCAATACAATACAATACAACGCAATACAATACAATACAACGCAACACAATACAACGCAATGCAATACAATACAATACAACGTAATACAATACAATACAACGTAAAACAATACCACACAATGCAATTCAATACAACGCAATAAAATGCAACTCAGTGCAAGACCATGCAGTATAATACAACTCAGTAAGATACAACGCAATGCACTACAATTTAATACGATGTAAGGCATTACAACAACATTCCATGCACAACGCAACGCCATGCATTACAATGCAGTGCAACAAGACGTAAAGAAATAAAACGCATTGCATTCCAGTTCAACACAGTAAGTACAACGTAATACAATACATTGCAATACAATACATTACAATACAATACAATACAATGCAATAAAATACAATGCAATACAATAAAACGAAGTACAACACAACACAATACAACTTAATGCAGTGCCATAGATCGCAATGCCACACAACGCAATAAGACGCAGTGCAACTCAACGAAAGCCACAACAGTATTGTTATATCCGCCGGAATGGTGGAATTACGCTATATAATTAATTATTGTTATCTTGTTATATTTGTTATCTTCGCTATTTGTCATTGATTGTAAGCCATAGAATCTTTTCATACTATAGAGGATTGTAAAAATCTACTGTACACAGGCTATATACGGAGTGGCGAATAGCGACGTTAGTAGCGAGGTTTGAAGCGAAGTCGTAAATGCGATTTATGTAGTTACTTGGATTAGTATAGTGTTTCTATTACTGTTGGCATTCGAATAAACGTTCAACCAAGTTTACATTTGAAGCAGTTGTGTTCATCTATCGGAAATCTTGAACCTACGGAATAACGATAACTCGACGATCGTTGGCTTCTAGAACACTGGTGTTGGAGATACAGAGATCTTTGAAGTTATAACATTGGTGTCTGTAGTAACGATCGTTCAAAGTTTACAACAGTGTAACCTCAGCCATGAGATCTCCAATGCATACGTCATATAAATACATAGTTGCTATATCGTACGCTGCACGTAAGTTGATCTTATTTTCTATAGAGACGCCCACGCATTGCCTTGGAGCATGCACATAAGAATTATGTAGATGAGGTGATATTAGGTTGCTTTTCATCTTAATGGCCTGTCCTCAACTTATAAAACAGAAATAAAAGATGTATATGTGTGCGTGTATGCTGAAAGCACTTTTGTGAGAGTGTAAGAACGAACAAATAAACTTCATTTTAGGAAATTATTATGTTTGCTTTACAAATCTTATAATAATAAAAATAAAATAGTAATGTTTGTGTGTTTGTAATAAGGTATGTGTGTTTGTAATAAGGTATGTGTGTTTCTCTGTGTGTGTTTGTGTATGTGTACGTATGCGTCTGTCAACGCGTGTTGTGTTTGCATATGTTGTATGTTTGTTTTTCTACACATTAAGATAAATAACTATAACAAATTTTTGTTCTAAGCCCTCCTTCGATGCACGGCCATTCAAAATTTTGTCAAGTTTATGTTTTAGCGCAAGTTGGTTCACGATCTTGCTTTCATTCAGATAAGTCTGACTAGAAGCTTGCTATAAAGAAAGAAAGATCTTTCTTGTGCTTTGAAAATTTCTACAGAGTTTTTGAATGAAATAACTTTTGATTATGTTGACAGAGTAACTGACAGCATTTGATTGGAAAGATGTTATTGAAACTTGTGGTCTTTTTTAGAGTCTAACTAAAAAAGTTTTAATTGCCAGATATTGAAATTATAAATTTTAATTTTTTCGTTGGAGTTAGGAGCGAAAAATTCTTTTCACTTCGAATATTGACAGTTTAAGAACTTATCGAGTTGAATTTTTATTTCAAAAAACATTTCAAAATTTAACATTTAGTAATTATTCAATAAAAAAAATTATTAAATCAATTGCAATTTAAACAATTATCTGGTAACATTTTAGTTTTAAAATTAAACATTCCATTAGTTTCTATCTACTTCGACTGGGCTAGTTTGTTTGACCAATCTCGATCTCTTGAAAATTGATTTCATTGTTTTTCAGCTCCAGATGTCTTTCCTTTGCTATAATCGTTGTATTCTTATTTTTATTTAAGAAGTTTACATTTTATTATTCGCTAATAAAAATTTTACTGTTTGATCTACATTGCCGGCGTTTCTTTTTCAGAGTTTAAGTTGAGAGTAAAAACTTAAAAATTTTAAAATTTCCTGAAACAGTCTAGTTGTCGTGAGAATGTGTGATAAAAAATTATCTGAAAGTAACACATTGAAAGTGTATGGAAACACCTTCTGAAATAAAATAAAATAATTGGAGTTTCTTCGACATTTACATGCAAATAAACTCGGTTAAAAGAATATAATTGTTACGGCGGTTAAATAACCGTAGCATTTGAATTTAACCTAGACCTAGAAGCAACAGTTCTTAAGCCGGTTAATGATGCGTGTCCAAAATATAACAAATAAGTTACAGTGGCATGCCAAGGAAAGCAAGCCTGTGGCATTTGCTCGGGGCACCATGGCACCATTTTCAAACTCTGTTGTTTTAAAATGTTTCTATTTATAAAAAACAAAACACTGAATCCAAAACTTTAATGAGAACATTTAAACAGCAGTATAAAAAATGACACAAAATATAAACAAACAAATTTTGTCCTCCCTTCCTTTTTATTAGATGCGCTCGTTTGAATTATTGATTGGAGTAAAAATAACCGTCAAAGCAGGTACTGTCATTGTAAAATTAGTGAGAAAATTTTTTAGGATAAGTTATAGATTTTTTGCGTAAAAGCTACATAATATAAGTTAGGGGGCGTTAATGAGGGCTTGCCCAGGCTGTATTTTATAGTCCCCCCTCCCACGCCCATACGCAAACGCCGCTTTGAATGTTATAGTGACACGATTATGATAAGAGGGCCAATGACAGTATAAAAAAAAACTTAGTTTAGTACTTCTATGCTATGACTTTAAACCGCAATCTGGTCTGGTCTAAATAAATTTTAAACCGTCACTTCAATATTAAAGATTATACAGTTTTAACGTGTGTTGTATGTCAACGATCTATTTAATTTTTCATCCGAGCATATATGTCATACCCCATATGCTCATGCCTTACACGCAACAAAAACGCAATTTGCCTGCAAATAATTAACTGGTCAATAAATTTGCCGAATTCTTCAATAACCTAATTAATCGTGAATTATTAGTCAATAAACTTGCCAAATTATTAGGAAGCCTCGTGTTAACGAGGAGATGAATAAACGCGTCCCTCAAATTTACGAAATAGTTTTATTGAGTGTTGCCTGGCAACCTGAGTTCATATTAGGAGCCTGACGGCAATATTTCATATATTTCCCCAAAAATATTCATTGCAAAAAACTTAGGAATATTGTAATTATTTTTTAAGAAAATGTATTATTTTTGTTTTTAATCATTTCTCTTTCAGAGATATTCCCAAATTTTTTATTTAAAGTAATATAATTAAAAAGAATGGAACATTTCATTAGAACAAATAAACACACAAATTAATGCTTGAAAATTTAATTTGGTAGGCGATAAAATCACATTCAATAAAATAATTTGAAAATACTATAAAATGTTAAGTTGTGATGAGAAAAGTCTCCAAAACGTTATTTAATATTCATTTTATTGTTTTTCAATAACTCTGCAGGTTCAATTCCATTAGCAATAAAGATGTTTACTGAAGCATCGCTGTGCCACTATTATTCTGCAATACATTGCAAGCACAACCTTCAACATGAACACGAAATATGTAGAGATATGAGAATGAGTAAGATTGAAAGAATTGAATAGCTACATGACGTGAGCCACACAACACATGTCTAATGCCTTCAAGCGACGCATGTTTGGATGAAAATTGTCATGAATGGATTGGGGCAGTCAGCTGCACAGTGTTGTATCTCATCATCACCCTGAACACTTTTCCTACTGACATACAACATCCACGTACAGCATATGCACGCGCAAACGTATGTGCAAACACATTTCACATTTCCAATAGTGAACCGATTTGCATTTTCGACTAATGTACGTATGTCTTTGAACATAAATGTGTATGTCTGTGCATGTGTGTGGTGTGTGTGATGCTTACAACCAACAGTTAATAAACCAATAATTCAAAGATTGTTCCTCATTTAAATTTACATGAAAACATTCTACAATGTTAGTAATGTACTATATTTTCTAGCAATAACCGTAATATTGTTTTAGGCTTATGAGAGTTGAAGCATTTTCCCAGCAACTAAATACGGACCATTCATGATTGTTTCGACTGTATGTATATAGATAGTTTTTAAACAAAGATTTTCTGTTCGGGCGAATTATTTTGTTTTTTTTAGACTCCAAACAAAAACTTGTGTAAGGTCCTAGATGATGTGACTTTATGATCAAATGGGACATAAGAGAAACCCTGAACAAAAATGTTTGCCTAACGGAACTATCAAATAAATAAATACTGCATAGAATATGTAGCAATACATTGTGACAAGATCAACGTTGTCGAGAAGAAGGTGAAACAACTGTTGGAGTGAACGAGGCCCATTTCCCGCTTGACGATGTAGTAATAGGGTCTCCATTAACAGTTTGATTTGTTAATTACTATCTGAGTTCTTTAGAAGAGAAAATTTTACGACTAAGCCATTTGTAGATGTTTTGTATATAAAAATAGAAGATACTTTCATTTTTTCAAAACAAAAAAGAGAACAACATTACTAACATTAAAAATTTGCTAGCAAAAACTTTTATATTCTTTATTATATTAAAATAAGTTTGCAATTGAAGACTTTATGGCAGTATTTTTAACAACCTTGACATTAACACCCAAACAAATACAACCGAGAATTTGACTAAACAAAAACTCAAACACAACAACTGCCGCAATTCAGGTTGTAATACCTCACCACAACATGACAAATAAAACTCCAATACCCACTGTGTAATACAAAATACCACAATCTGCAAGCGCAAAACCGGTGGCTCTCATAAAAAAGATTTCTGTAAATCAGATGGTCTTTGTTTACAAAATGTTTGAAATGTTTAAATTGCCATTTGGCGGATCATTTTACATTGTTTTGCATGCTTTTTTGATATTTTTCTTTAAAAATTTATTAAAGAATTATGCGGCAAATTGTGCATACGTTGAAAGGATTGCATTATGAATGAAGGATCAATGTCCCTCTTTGATATTTAAGCGATATGGTCCAAATATTGGGAAGAAATAAAGATGAAGATGATGAGGATGGTAGCATTTATAGTTATTACTTTTATTATTATTATTATTTATTGTTATTATTATCATTAATATGTTTTTATGAGGAAATAAGAGATGTTCTCACCAGCAATTATTAATATTGTAATTGTATAAAAAGTGCCGCTGCTTCAGACGCTGGTGAGATCGATGAGGATTGTAAGAGCTGATTGTCTTTGAGATGGAGACGATGTATAATAATAGAGATGATGTAAATGGTGATGGAGATGATGTAAGCAATGATGATGATTAAAATTACAGACTTTATTAAATACCTGAGTGAATATGAGCGACGATTGTGATGATGGGCACAATTCAATAAAAACTAGAATGACGTTTATCAAGTTTGACGATTTAAGGATTTTGGATAAATAGATATAATATTTTTCAAATTATTAATGTGATAATAATAATCTGTTCTGGTTGAAATTAACTAACAAAAACTTGTTATGTAACAACCAACTTCTAACATCATTTTCCAAATGCCGTCGGAACATATATTTAACAAAATCCGTTTTCCTTCGAAAGACAGAGGCTTACATGCAACGAGCAAAAACGAAAGAAAACCCATGATGGATGCATGTGCAGGCGTAACAAGTGAGTGTCTCTTGATAGTTGATAACCTACGCCGAAAGAAAATGAACACTTCATAACCGCACTGCACTCACAATCTACACAGGCTGAAATGCACGGTGACAAATTATTACCGATAGCTTCGACGAGAATAATTGCCATTGATTCTATGGGGCCAATTTATTGAACGTTTTTATAATTGCGGTAGTTAGTTTCTATTAAAAAAATTTCATTAGTTTTAGATGAAAATGAAATAAAATTAGTTTTCATCACAATTCGTAAAATAACAAAATAAGCCTCTAAGATAAATCGTTAAAAACCAATTAAAATAAGAACAGAACTCTCAAATATTTTTCAACCAACTCGCTTAAAAATTATTAAACGCTTGACTACGTGATGTAAAACCCTCCGATATTTCTTATTTTTCTTTATCACGCTTTTATTAACTTCATATCATATGTCTTCTTGTCTGTTTTTGAATTTGTTTGTTTGCTTGTACCAAAATTTGTCAACGATAAATAGATTATATATATATATATATATTATATTATAATATAGATTATATATATATATATATTTTTACAATATTCTATAAGTTCTACCGAATGTTTGGCGTTAATATGTTTGTAGTTCGTTTTTTCAATTTTTCTCACTAAAGTTTTTTGGTGAACGTTTAGTTTATTAAAATTCAAAATAAACTATT